CGCGGCCCGGAGACAGCCGGTGGCGCCTCGCGGGCGCTGAGACCCGGCGGGGCCCTGGGGCAGAGGGAGCCGCAACGCCGCGGCCCGGAGCTTTCCCGAGGCCCCCAGGGCGCGGGGCCTGCAGCGGGCTGCGCTGGGACAGCCCTGCTGGAGGGCCGAGCGCCCTGTTCCCCTTGACGTGGGCGGCGGGCGGGCACTGCGGTGCCTCCACGGCCGGGCTTGGGCTGCTCCCCGACTCAGTCAGGGGTCGGGGCCTTGGGCGCAGTCCGGGGCGCACGGGACAGGACGGCGCTGGCTAGTGTCACTAATTAAAAACTAGATAAGCCGCAGCAGCATCTGGGGTCTGCAGCACCCCTGCTTTCAAGGTGTTTGTAGACGTCACATCAGATTTTACATGACGTGAACAAACGGGGCCTCACGCCACCAGGACCAAGGCTCGCTGGTGCCACGTTTAACCCTGTACTTGGAGTTCACAGTCCTCCACTAGGCATCCAGGCACCATGTCTAAAGCCTAGCATCCAAGAACGGGACCAAAAGCTAGGAAGTTTAGTGAGGCATCACCTAAACTTTTCAGCAAAAACACCTAGGACAGGGGTTTTCAGCCTTTTTGGATCAGTGTGCCCTGGCGGCCTGATGCAGAGCACCGTACCCCTTCCCCTGCATCCTGTCTCCCATTAAAGCAGATCTCCCATTTGCCCCATCCATTGAGCTATAAGGAAGCTGGGTGTTTCTGTCTCTCTCACCGAAGCTATTGCACTTTGTTTGAAACAAATATTCACTGAAGCAAAGGAGATGAACCTATCTCTCTGGCGAGTTCACCAGGCCGCAGGCAGGGGAGTCACTCAAGCTCTCTCTGGCCCAAGGAATAGGGAAATATCAAGGAGTGGTGTGAGTGCAGCCATAGCCCCTGCTTTGCTCCCGGTTTGCCACTGAGATAATTGATATCAGTTGCCTCACTCATGCACAGTGAGCTCTCCAGTCCTGCCACACATTCGTCATCCTGCATCCAGTACTGCCAATGAATATTGAATTTTTTTATAAAAATAACAACGCAAGATCTGATCCTCCACCTCAGTAGTGCTCAAGCTTTTTCCCCATGAGCCAAATGAGTGGTGCTTAGCAGCCTTGAAAGGATCTCAAGGCAGGCTGAGTATCACTGCCCTAGAATAAGTATAGAAAGGGGAACACTTGGTTTGTGAATCCCTCCAGGGCTTTGGCTTTGGGCAGCTCACTGACATCAGGACTTAGCGGGCTGTGAACATGCCTAGCAGCTATCATCTTGATGCCCAAGGAATCTTTGGGCATCGTTACATGTGCTCTGGCATGGAGGGCACTTTAATTAGAGCAACTCATACAAAGTAGCTTTTGATGCCCAATTAATTTTCAGCTTTGGATATGTCAGAACACAAAACAACTTATTTAGGATTTAACTGTGAAAATCCCAAAACCTCTACTGAAGGAGGGTTGTTTAAGACCCATGAGCATCATGTTTCCTTCCCTTTACTCTCTTTGCCGCCTAACACCTAGCTCTATGGTGATGCACTCTGCCCACCCCTCACCCCCACCTGAGGAAGGCTGGACTCTATTCCCTCCAGAGCCCATCAACACCTTTATGCACTGGCTACACACAGAATGGGGAGACACATTTGGCAGAGGTCAGAAGATGTTCCATCATTACATGATGGCCATGCTGTTGGCACTGCACAGCTCCTGCCACCTCAGGGAGAAAGAGAGTGGGTAACAATAATTACCCACCTTTGTTAAGTGCTTTGAGGTCTTCAGGTGAAAGTACCACTTACATGCCTACTGTTGTTGTTATGTTACCCATTTTAGGAAATTATCCTCTAAAATCAAAAATAATCTGCTAGTGGTTTTCCCTGAGTTGATGTGAGAAAAACGTAACAGTTTAACTGTCATCACTCAGGCCTTTCTAGTCTCTCTCATCCCTGTTCGTTTTTAGGGCACACAAGCGACCTCACTGATATGATGGGATATTTTGAATAAGCAGATGCTGGAAGAACTGGGGATGTATAAATACAAATCGCCTTGGGCCAAAAGGTCCAAAGGGCTTCTCCACTAAGAAGCAAACTCGTGGTTCTAGCTATGGGGTGGGCAAAATGGTGGATCTGGCCAGGAGCTAGACTCCATTTCCGAGCAGCTCCTGCCCACATTGCTGCAGCTGGTGTCCACAGAGACCCCAGCAGCAATAACACCGTGCCAGCGCAGGGCCAGGGTTTCCATGGAGACCAGCCCCAGCAGAGTTGTTAGGGTGTGCACCTAAGCAGGGAGCTGCTCCAGGGCCAGGGCTGGGATCTTGCAGCAGTGACAGTGCGGCCCAGAATCGGGACAGAGCCACATTCCACTGTGTATACACCCCTTCCTGGAGCACATGGGCAGCAGATCACAGCTCTGCCTCTGCTCTGGACCACACTGTCAACGCTGCAAGATCCCAGCCCCAGAGCAGCTCCCTGCTCAGCTGCACATCCTGCCAGTGCTCTCCATGGAAACCCTGGCCCAGTGCTCCTGGGGTCTCCATGGAAACTGGCAGCAGCAACATTGGCAGGGGCTGCTGGGAAATGGAGTCCACCACAGGCATGATCCAGCCCATGGGCCAGACTTTGCCCAGCCCTGTTCTAGATGATAGAGGCAAGCAGATGTGTTTCTTAAAGTAGAAGTGACATGCTGAACCTGTTACCAAATCCCAGAAGTAAAGATGGCCAGCAATAGAAGTTGTGGGTCTGTTCCCAGACTTACAGAAGGTGGACAACCTTAGGGAGACAATCGAGTTTCAAAAGGAAGCAGAGCAGTGTAAGCCTGGATATGCTCTGTGATGAGAATCAGCAGTCCCCATAATGCAGATTCAGAGCTGTTCCCTCAGTTGGAGGAGGGCCCTGAGTGAAGGCCCACTGCTTCCCCCCACCCCCACGGTGGGCCAGCTTCTCCCCCAGCTCGGGCTCGGGGCGCCTCCTCCCCCTTCTCCCCACCATTGGCTCCGAGCCCGTTCCTCCCATTCCCCCACCACCTCTGGGTCAGCCCAGGCCCAATGCTTCCCCCTCTCACTGCGTGGACCCAGCTTCTCCCCACCCCCGGGCCCGGTCCTCCTCCTCATTGGGCCTGGGCCCACTCCTCCCCTCCCCCCGCCACTGCAGTGGGGAGGGGGTGAGCGGGCCTGGACCCCAAGCAGCAGGAGGTAAAGGGGGAGTGGGCCCAGACGGGGGTGGGGCACAGGGCTCCATCCCCACACATTCCCCATCCCGCACACTCTCCCCCCATTTTTCCTGATGGGCAATTGGCTAATTACCTAATATTAACCAGTTTCAATACAACTTTCCTTCCCCCTCCAATTATTTATAAAAGCTTTGTGTGTTTTTTCTTAAAAATTCTATAGGACAAGGACAATGTTTTATTTGATGTTTGCACAGTCCTAAAGAAAGTGGGTTCTGATCCTGTCCAAATTAAGTTTCTCTAGGTGATATTGTGTCTGTGCGTGTGTTTATGATGATGATGATACCTAGGTTTCATCATTCTGATGCAGATTATTTGAACATATTCATCTGCAAAGACCCTCAGTGTCAGTAGATGGTGCTCCATACATAATTTTTAACAGCACTTACCCAGACAATGTGGAAGAGTTATTTCTCCAATTACATTTTTATTTACATTGCAGAGGCATGGATATTAAAATAAGTGTCATATCCCTGGAAACCTAGAAGCCACACAGTTTAAGGACAGCTTGGCTTTTATCAGGAAACCAGTGAAACATACATTAGAGCAGATGTTCACAGACTTACAAGAGTTCCATTCCTTGGAGTTTCTTTCCAGTAAACGTAAAGAGTTTATGTTTCTAAATGTTGTGCCTCAAACATTTTCATTAACCAAATGATATATTAAAAAGGTTTGAATTAAACTATATTTTTGTGGATATGTCTCTTACTCTTTCTTTGCATGCCTTCTCACTGGCTTCCTCTCTCCACACAGGACAATCTCATTGTGTTGATCTGGGGCTTTCCCCAAGGTGCTCAGATATTGCTATGACTAACAGACAAGCTCTTGTCAGCTGGAACATCTTTCCTATGTCTTAACCCTTAACTGACATCCCATTTAATCTCATCTCACAAATGAAAATATATCTTTCTCCTTTGCCTATATCTTTTTTACCTTAGGGTGGAGGCATGCATGGGGGCAGCTGCCAAAGAGCAGTTTGCATGCCATAAATTCAGACTCTGGTTTATGTCATGGCAACTTGCTTGTGTACCTGTACACATAGCTGTGCTGAAGGCTAGCAAAGGCTATATTCTGCTATGCAAAAAGGATCCACACACCTAAACATAGCCTGGATATGAGAACCTAAAAAAAGTCAGAGCTGAAGATGTCATCTGGTAACAGGCTTGAATAGCAGGTAGGGTGATGATGTTCTCCACTGTAATCAAGACAGGATGCAGCAGGGAAGGCTTGGAGGGGGTATACTGAGAGTGCTGTATTCGCCAGATTGAGCTTGAGGTAGGAGAGGGGGCGTAGGCTTGAAAGGGACATCTGGAGCGGGTGGGGGGATCTCCCATGAGGTTGAGGTGGGGTGGTGGGAATGGTGTGGGAGTAGGAAAAGGTTTCTTGTATCTGGACCTGAGTGGCAGTTGCAGCCTGTGGCTGGCAGTGGTAGGAAGATTTGCTAGTGTGGGGATTCGGGCAGGGAGGCAGCGTTTGGGGGAAGGGGGACTTGGAGTTCTCAGATTTTGGGGTATTGTTTGGGGAATCAATCCCCTCTGTGGATTGCCTGTTTATTGTCAGCCACTCTGAGCCTTTTG